TTGCGATGAATGCTTATAAGAATGATCGAGTTTTGACGTTCGATCACCACGATTTATTTTTCATATTCTTGCACAGAAAAGCAAGCAATATGACCGGAAGCTGTCTCGAATTCGCGGAATGGTTTGACGATGTGATTTCGAATCGTGATAATGTTCTCCTTTTCGGCAGCTTTGAGCTTCCCGGAAATGATTGGGATATTTTCGAGACCAGGAAGAATGTTGTAAACCCAAAAATCCATCAGGACATGATCAAGTTTCTCAAGCAGCGCGGTTTCACTCGTGAATGGGTACGCGAGGACACAACTGCCGAGGGTCAGACTGATGTCTTAATTTCAAGGAGGCAAAACGATGGAGGTCCTAAAGGAGTTCAACCGTCAGGAAAAGCTCTTGCTCAAAATTTTTCAGGGCACGAGCATAAGGCCGTATTTTTCAATGTTGAGAAGAAGCCCTGGAATCTCGTGACAAGCCCCGCGAGGAAAATTTATTTGAATTCACCATTTTCCAAATCTCCGACATATTTCATGGAGATCGAGAATCGAGGAAGAAGAATTGGTCAAGTTCGAGGTCGAAAGTAGCGGTGAGCATCTACAGTTTCTAGGAGATCACGAGGTTCTGAAAAAGGACGGATTGGGTGCTGGAGAATCGAAAAGTTTCGAAATTCAAGTCGGGACCTTCAACCTGTCAAGGGGCAAGACCGATTGGATAATCCTAAAAAATTGCGCTAACACGGAGCAACACCACGTGAAAATTGCCTATAATACCTAACAACATCATTTCTCTGTTTTTTATATACTCCATCCTTTCAAAATCTGAATTTTTTACATAAATCCCTTACTCAAGGATTTCTTTCGATAGCTTACGTTTATGAAGCGTCATGGTTTTTAATAAATCTGATTGCAACCTCGATACAGTCACATTGGTCAAATAAGAGCACACGACGAGCATGAGCATGATCGATTTTTGCCGCTCTGGAACTTCTCAGCCAGAATGAACAAGTTAAAGTGTTTGAATCCACTACGATTCTATGTTCTTGGATGCTTGCACATTGACAGTTTTTCGGTTCTGGCCTGTTAGCGGTGGGGGATTTAAATAACCACTTTTTGTTTTTCCACCTATACCGCCTATCTGTTAGTGATATTGAATGTATCTTCATACTGTTTTTAGCAGTTCTTGATCGCTAAAAGGTAAAAAAGTATTTCAATAACTTTTGGACATTCGAGAATTTTGATCTTTTTGGTCATTTTTCCGACATTTTCGCCCAAAAAGCCATCCTCTTTCGAAAATTTTTATTATTTTTACGATGTTTTTTAGCTTTACAACTATGTAAGATGCTATGAAAATAGTCTAGGTCTTGTTATAGGGCGGTAGAGAACCACAGGGAAAAATCTGGTCCCCCGATAACTCCCCTGCTAACAATCCAGAACCAGTTTTTTTTACAAAAACCGAAGTATAATTGATTTTTCAGCCTTTCAGAATAAATTTCTGTGCGTAAATCCCCTTTCGCGCCTTCTAGCCTAATTAAAAAACGTTGTCCGGCTCGCGTTCCAAATTCCGCATAAATAAAATACTTTTCAGCGTGGAGCTTTGATTTAACGCGAGAGAATGCAGGAAGTGCACTTTTCAGGGCGGAGAAAGAGAGAAGCGATGGCCATTCGGCCTCGGTTGATCCCGGGCCCATAAACCTTCGCAGGTCGTTTCGCCTAGATCGGCTGCATGTGTTTGCCGGGGACAGGCTGAACATAGAAAAGAGGGGGAGGTTCCGGGAAGAGGAAGCGCTGACCTTCGGCCTGCTCTGGCCCTGCTGGGCTAGATCTAAAATTCGATACCATTTTCTCGCCCCGATCACACCTATTTTCTGCAACTTTTGCACTTGCGCTAAATCCAGGCGACCGTTCTTGACTAAAAATCATTTTTCAGGATTTATCCGTCGTTGTAATCCTTCCTCAAATGTGATTTGATTTGGTGGGCCTTTCCGCTTCTAGATAGCCAGCTCAGAATGGTGGTATTAGCAAAGATAGTTTAGAAAACCTTATTTTTACGTTGGTTGTGGCGATTTAGTCTCAGCTAACGTTGTTGCTAATTTTATTCAAGTTGCTTTAGCCCTATTTTTTGATTGGAACAATTACTATTGGTTTGGTCGCTCCTTAGAATTAGTTCAGATTTTTCGCAACGATATATTGATTTCTTAAAATAAGAAGAGAATGGTCAAGTCATTTGCAGTTGTAGCTTAATAAGTTTAATAAGTTCACTTTAATAGGTTGCTAGCGTTTTATGCAGCATAGATTCATGCAGTACGGTATGAAAGGCCCGTGTTAGTGACCTTGAAACGCCGTTATTCATGCTCATTCAGTTCCCACAGCCCTGCCTCCTGATAAAATCGCACAGATCGTTTTGCCGGGCCAGAATAAAGCATTGGCAACTATGGCATCCAGAAATTCAAGAAAAAAATGGATTACCTAGGCGGAATTAGCTAGGCGAGATGTCCTTCTGTCTCTATTCCGTCTCTCTCCTTCTCACTCACTCTCCCTTTCTCTATTTCTCTCTCCCTTCTCTCGCTCGATTTTTCCGTGTGGTCCAGCAAGCTGACACCACAACAGCTTGATTTCAGGAAAATAAATTCAGGGCTCGTTTTTTTTGGCAAAATTGCAGGAATTTGTGACAAGATTTAGTTTTTAGCTTCTGGGAACGTTGATGCTAAGTTTATTAAAGTTGCTATAGCCTTATTTTTTAGTGAAACATTTACTTTTAGTTTCATCTGATCATAGAAGCGTTCTCTTACTTTTTTTCTGATTTTTGCAACAAGATATTTATGGATTTCTAATCATAGAAGCGTTCTCTTACTTTTTTCTGATTTTTGCAACAAGATATTAATTGCTTAAAATAAGATAAGCAATGGTCAAATTGGTGCAAATTGGCGCAAATCGAGATCCTCCCTTCATCGTCCTCTTCATTCCCTACGGCTAGGGTTACACGACCTGTATCTTCTACCGCTGTCCCCACCGTATCCACCGCTACCGTACTCCCAGCCTTACCACAGCCCCCACAAAATAAGCCCGAGCGGCACCCGACCGAACGAGCCCCCCGAGTCACCCGTACCTCTAGTCCAATCGCGAAAAATGACGTGCATTTTGGATAAGTGTTGATTTGCATAGGTTAATTTTTTGCTAAATCCGTTTTTCTTCAATAAATTAGATCATTTTCCTAAACCCGTTTTTTCAGTAAAAATTGGAAAAATGAATTCAGGAAAAATAAACCGAATCCCTGTTTTTTTGCATTTAGTGATTTCGAATTGCTACTTTTTTATTTTTTTGGCGTATTTTTTGCCCTCTTGAAAGTTGCCCGATCACTTACGAGCTTTAATCTTTATCTAACCAAATTTTTTTTCTCAGCATCGTCCTGCCAATTATTTTTGAAAATGTTGATGCTATTATGAATCGACAAATTATTTTCAAACTGAAAAAGTCAGTGAATCGCGCATAAACAAGACAGATTTAAAAATTTAGCACCTTCAATAAACTTTCTTCTGAATTTGAAAGAAGCAAAAACCGAAAGTTTTTTGTGCAGATAATCAGGACAAACGGGGCCCGCCTCCATTCAGATTTTGGCTTACTTGCAGGGATCAAAAACAGAGTGCTATGAACTAGCGTGATTAGACGAAACGCCATCCGATATCGGATTGCCTGGTCGACGAAGCTACCCGATTACGCCCAGAACTTCTACAGCTCGGTTCACCTTTAAAACGGTTCTGTTATTTATTCTCAAGCTATGTTGTAGCTGGAACTTCGTCCTTGCCGAAGCATACTTTTTTGAGGGACGCCCACTATCTTTCACTCGTTATCAAGGGTAATTTCGCTAGTGCCAGCCTGGCATGGCCTAAGCCGAAAGGACCGACTATCGCAAACGCCATGTGGAACTGTTTCTGCTCAAGCAATGCGAATTTTCGAATTTTTCCTGTAATTGAACTGAACGGCTAGGACGGCCCACATGTGCTTCGGCATACATCCTCTTTAGTCACCACAAATAAATCTGATTGAAAAAAATCTATTCCAGATAAGCGCACGTGAAGGATTGCTATCCGGTGCTATCCGGTCCGCCGCAATGTCAAGCCCCTGCTTGTCGGAAACGCTAGAAACGCCAGAAACAAGGTCCGTGTTGATTTTTTGCTAGCCATTCTTGATGGGGGAGCGGGGTGGGGGAGGGGGCAGATCCACTTCAGCGAGGTAGGAAAGGTGAATTGCTCGCTTAACCTCGTTTCGCTCGGCGGATAATCTATGCTGTTCAAGCCGAATTGCTAATTCATTTTAATCTAACATTGACATCATAAAGCAGGCAAATGGTTGTGACGGTACTTTCGAAACTCGCTGCATTTGTCGAGAACCAACTTTGGCGGCCGCAAGTGCTGAGCCAGATTTCTTATCAGCAGAGCGAAACAGAAACCCAGAGAGCCTAGATCCAAAGCACCGCAATTGCCAGCGAACACGATGTTTCTTCATGATTGGGCATAATTGAAACAAATTTTAGACTGTCGTAAGATTGTCTTGGGTTCATACGTGTTCAAAAATACTCTGATTTTCCAATTTTTTTTTGAAACCAAAGCTGATGATAATGATGTTAAAAAAAGTGGGCATGGTGATGTAGATCCCCCCTCCCGAAGTACTTTCCGTCGTAATCATTTATTCTTTTAGAAAAGACGACACGGACGAGTTAGCTAAACAGTTTGGGAATGCAATGGACCTGTAAGTCTTTAAACGGGCTCCCCGACATTTGCGGCCGCGACACATGTGACCCGCCTTATCGGATTGGGCCGCAAGTGTCGGGCCGCAAATGTTTTGGCACCTTAAACCGAGCCTCCCAAAAGTAAATTCCCGTGGAGAGAAGAACATTAGCTTGAGACAGAGCTTGTGCAACACAAATTAATTACGATATCAAGGACTTTTAGGGGTACAAATCAACAATCTACTACAAACACACCAGTTGGCCTCGAAGATACTAGGTGTCAAATGAGCGTTGGCGAAAACTCGACCGACACTGAAAACCAAAAAATCGTTCAGCCCGGCCTTGAATACGCAGCGCCAGAAGATATAGACCGCAAAGTTGAAGTGACATCGCCCCAGGGCGAGGATGAAGGGCCCGAGTTCCCAAATGATGAATGCGGTGGTGACGACGAGACAGAAAGGGAACCCGACAAGCTATACCGACGGATAGACGACGGAAAGTTAGGCTACGATGATTACGATGATAAAACAAATGACGACGACGAGAAAAATAACGACGACGAAGCCAATAGCGACGACGAAGCAAATAACGACGAAGAAAGCAAATAACGACGAAGAAGCAAATAACGACGAAGAAGCAAATAACGACGACAAAAAAAGTGGAGATGTCTCCATGAGCACCCCGGATCTAGCCCCTGGACAAATAGACGAAGCCGCAAAAGCACATACACATGTTTTTTGGAATATTAAGAAACTTCACCCCCATCCCGATGGCTGGATTCGGCTCAAGGCATTTATTGAGGGCAAAGTAAAGGGAAACGCTGTGAATATGTTATTTTTGTGCGAAATACATTTGACACCGACGGAGATTGAAAAATATAGACAACCTCTCAAGGACATCGGCTATATATTGGTAGTCCCAACTATCGTGTATGAGCCTTGTTTCGAGCTGCCAGCTGGAATCGATATCATATCTTATCTTAAGCGGAGTGCCGAAAATAGGTGGCAGCAAATCAAGAATGACCCCGAATTATATGCTCAATTTTTAGATACAAAGAAGGGGCTGGCTAAAAGTCCAACGAAACAGGAGGCGGCGGCTCTCGATGCCAGATTGCCTGAAGGTTGGGGGCTAGGCGACCAAACCTGTCATATTTTGGTCATAGTACCGGATACACCTTTATTTGAAAGCGCAACCGCTGCAACCACCGAGGTTGTGCCGGATGATCATATCAAACCGGTTACGCAACAAATTCTGAATCCGATGGCTGCGGCTGATCGTCTCATGCATATTACGCTTGATGGGGTCATCTACATTGTCTACCATCGCCAGACACGAAATGGCTCCGGTTATGAAAAAGAGATGGGCAGCAAAATCGAGAAATTGTTGAACGAAATAATACAAGGAAAGCCTAATGTGCTCTTCTTTGGTGATTTTAACATGAACGCTACGAACTGGGAAACTTTTGATGCAAGCGAGGAAGTTCGGGGGAAAAGTACGGCCCCGACTTTCTTAGCTCAACTTAAAGAATTTGGATTTTGTCGTGAGTGGGTTCGTGAGCCTACACGCGTGTGCAAGAAAGGCCAGCCCGCACAACTGGATGTTCTGTTATCCCGGAGAATGGATGGCGGCGCACCAAATGGCGTGCAACCAAAGGGAAAATGTTCCGTTGTTCGCTATGCCGGAAGCGATCATAAAGCGCTATTCTTCAGTATCATCAAAGAAAACGCCTGGCACGTTGAGACGGATCCGTTTCTGATTGCACTGATCGCTGACGACTGCACCGAAAAATTCGTTTATTTAAAAATCTACAACAAGGCATCTTCACATATAACCCTTAATATTCGGCATCGCTGCCAAACTGATGTTAAAATCTCCTACTACTATGAAGAACCCGGGAGCCAGGGAGAGCCAGCCAACGTGCCAATAGCGACAGGAACAAACTTCCGCATTGAGGGAGGAAAAAGCCATCAGATAAAAATTTGTTTTTCCGTTCGTGCAACCCCCGAATTTGGTATGTCGACTTTCGATTGGATCATACTGCAAAACGCCGATACTGAGGAAGAACATCACGTTCGCGTAGTCTACACCGTTGCGTCCACGGCCGCTGAAGCCACGTAAGTTCTCTGGAAAAAGAAAGAGTATGAAAAGGTTGATTCGACTAAACAAGAAATTTGATATTTGGTCCTTGGTTTGTTTTGCAAAGTCCTTTACAACACGAATCTTTTAAAATTTCTGATGCGTCGCATTAGAACGAGCTTTACTTTCGTGAAGTTTTGATGACAGTAAATATCTAAAACCCACGGAAACTTTTAATCCCAAAGTTTCCTTTAGCTTCAACAATTTATTTCCAGTCCATCAAGAAGCGCGGTCAAAACGAGGACCCCGAAAAAGATGAACACTCCTGCCCTTCCCAGTGGTCCATCGTCAGGTAAATGCGTAGCATTTTGGGTGGGATACAGTGAACTTCGAGTTCAAAACGGGAGTCAGTGAATTAGCTAGGTTTCCCCACGCAGAAGTGAGGTTCAATGCTGCATTCCTGAAACATGTTTAATCCTACTATATATAAAAAATAGTGTCTGTGTGTGTATATTTGCATGCGCTTCCGTTTGGATGTTCCGCACCTACAGCCTCAGGGAAGCATTTTTTCGGTAGGGAAGAAGCGTGAATAGGTAAAGAAGGGTTCCGAATCGACTGCACACACATATGTTTTGAAAAATTGCTATTTTCGTTATTAAAATTAGGTTTTTGTAAAATTTTCAGCCAACCTCTTTGTTAGGAAGCAATTAGCAAACGCCGGAAGTGGAAATGGCTCTTAAAAAGGGAGAGAGGGCGCGCTTTTCAGTTTTTGGCTCTCGGTTTTCGGTAATTATGAAAGTCAATACTTTCGTGGGTCCTGGACGGGGCTAGGGTTGAAAAGCCGCGAAGCGGTTTTTCAACCCTGGTGATCCATCGAAAACAATCTTTGGGTTAGGCTGGATGGCAATGCGGCCGGACGTGCGGTCTGAAAAGATTTTTCCCATACGGAACTCTGGCTGGATGCTAGTGGCTGTCAAAACAATTTTTTTTCAGCTCGTGCCGCAGGCACAAACGATGTCGCTGATGTGAACAATGCTGGTGATGTGGATCAGCAAGCCAGAACCACCCCAGCGCACATTCTAGACGCGAGCGAAGGCGATGCCGTGGACAAAAATCCAAGCAAAAAATATGCGTGCATGTTTTGGAATGTGAATGGCCTGGATGATGATGTCATCGCAAAACTAGAGCAAGTCCTAGCCGAATACAAAGTCGACATGGTATTCCTTGCCGGCATTAACACTGATCAGGAGACAGCAAACCGCCTTCTGAGCAGCCTTGAAGATTTCGAAATTGGCGATGAACCCAAATTTATTTGTTTTACAACGCCTAACTTAAACCCTGAAGAAATTCATGAAATTCACAACTTGGTCCTCTACCGAAAGGAAGCCATCGAACCGCTGAGAATTAACATCAATGAATTCGCGATGAACACTGATAAACATGATCGGGTCCTTACCCTTGACACTGATGACGTTCGAGTTATTTTCTTGGATCGTCAAGCAAGCAATGCGACCAGCACCTGCGGTGAATTCAAGAAATGGTTCGCAACAACAATAAGTAAACGACGAAACGTTTTGTTTTTTGGAACCTTCAACCTGCCGGCTAACGACTGGGACAGATTTCAGACGTATCCAGGGGCCCCTAATCCGGACGAGCACCAGAAAATGCTCGCGTTCCTTGAAAAATCTGGCTTTACTACAGAGTGGGTGCGTGAGTCGACGGCCGTCCAGGGCCAAGCTGATGTCCTCTTTTCACGACGTCGGCTGGTTGACTGTGAACTAAGTGTGCAACCGACAAGCAAGGCGTTTACACAAGGATTTGACTGCAGTGCTCATAAAGCCATATTCTTCAATGTGATGGCGAATCCTTGGAATATCATGACGAACCGGCCGAGACAAATTGTCCTGAATCCACCATTTGGCAAAGAACAGACCTATAAACTTCGGATCAAGAACTTCGGAGAGAGCCTGGTGAGGATCAAAGTCGAGAGTAGCTCCGAGCATCTAGAATTTGTAGAAGAACTCGAGGCTCTGAAAACCGAGGGCTTAGGAGCTGGAAAAATAATAACCCTGACAATCCATGCCAAACCCTTCAAACCGTCAAAAAGTGCAATTGATTGGATTATCCTGACAAATCTTGACACTAAGGAGCAACAACACGTGAAAATTACCTACAATACCAAATAACCACATTCCTTTTTTGCGCTTTAAAATACGAAGTTCTTTTGCAACTTATTGCCTTTCAATCCATTTTACATTTTTTGGCATCGCGTTATCGATAAATAAATTTCCGTGCCCCATTCGACAAATCCACATTGAGCAATTTAATTTATTCATTGAGTATCAAACCCGAATAAGATCGCTAGCCACCACAAAAATTTTCTTAAATTATAGTTCAGTGTGCACACGGTGGGCATGGGCTCCGGGGAGTCGGCTCTTGCTCAGGTGATCGCTTCCGACGGCCTTTGGAATTCTCTTTAACCAGAATTCAATCGATTTGCCTGGTCGAAGGTCTAGAAATAATGCTTTAGCATATCTTGAATAGCAGCTAGTAAATGGCTAAAATTTATATAGAAACTAGGATCCTATACCTTTTCCATTTTCGGGGTCTCGGCAAAGTCTGGCATAACCAGGTCGGGGCTTATCCTTCGAAACTTGGTCCCATTTGAATGAGTCGGTGGAGGGGTTACTGTAAAAAAAGAAAAGTTTGTAGGATTTAAAAACATAAGTGAATCAGAATTACGTTTGCGTAATATAACTTTTTAAAATCTTAAAAACCTAGCAAAAGTTTTTTTTGATTTTGACAATGTGCTATATTTTAAAAAAACCTAGAAAATTCCAGATTTTTCATCATATAAAATAACACTAATTCTAGCCATTTGAATACTTAAGGGGTTTTATAAAAGTTAAGTGAACAAAACTAGAATTTTTGGCTCTAAAAGTAGCCATAAATTAGAATCAAAAATTACTAATTAAATAGCGTAATGTCTGATTTAATACAATATCCAAAAATCAATATATCATTTTAAACTCACCCATTAATCACAAAATTGGCCAAACTGTCGACGAAAGCCTTCTGGAATTTGGTGTCTTCCGGCGCTAAATCCTCATCCTTGATCCCGAAGATGTCGAAGAGGTACTTCAGCTCGGTGGCGTGCCAGGCTCCTGAATTTCAATTATAAGAACTTAATCTCGATTTCAAAGTTAGATCGATATTTTTTAATACCCCTATTATCACGCTCCAGCTTCTTCTCAAGCGACGACGTGTAGGTGATTTGGTACAGCCAGCTGGGCCAATTTTGGAGTCTCCTTAGCTCGAGATCGTGGAGCGTTGGGACGACGAACATCAGATCGGAGAGGAGCTGGAAGTTTCAGGGGTTAGAATAGCGTAATTCGACGATTGGTGTCGACTGGACCTAGACAGTTACGTTACGCGCCTAGTGACGCTTTAACATCCATTAGGAGCGTACAGAAAGTACAAACACGAACAATTTTAGAGCGTCGCTTGATGCGCGCGGCGTTTCCAAGTCAGTTCTAGTTTTTACGTTTCCTGAAAAACATTAATAAAGCTACAATACACCTATTTAGTTTAATAATTTTTGGTACATAGATGAATTCGTGAGGTTTACTTACCTCAGTATACCTCTGAACGTAAAATTTGGTGTCTGGTTTTGCCGGAGCGTCGCGCTTGATGTAGTACTCTTCGAGGAGGTCGAGGAAGGGACCCATTCTAGCTTCCCTGGAATTTAGATTGTAGTTTGTAGTACAAAACAACGGTACCATGCTCATGTTCAGTAGCTACGTTTTCGGAGATGAACTTGAAGAACACGTCTCGAGTAAAGTTCTTCTGGTCCTCCTTCGTGAGCCGGACGCCGTTGAAGGCCGGGTAGCCCTCGAAGCCGCCGGCTGAAAGAAAATGGAATAAAGGTGTATGTGATTGTAAATTTCTAAGAATCTCTGCCAGCTTGCCTAGATCGGCGCTACCAGAGAACGAGAGCGTAAATTCTAAAATTTTTGACATAAAAAATCAAATTGGAAGCTTTTGGAGGGTTCCATTCCCTTGGTAAATCAGGCGCTCTCTCTCACTCTCTCGCTCTCGCTCTCTTCTCTCTCTCTCACTCTCTCGCTCTCGCTCTCTTTCACTCTCTCGCTCTCGCTCTCTCTCTCTCTCTCTCACTCTCTTGCTCTCGCTCTCTTCTCTCTCTCTCACTCTCTCGCTCTCGCTCTCTCTCACTCTCTCGCTCTCGCTCTCTCTCTCTCTCTCTCTCTCTCTCTCTCTCCCTTACCAAAAATCGCCGATTCCTGATCCGTAAAGCCAGAAAGAACAGGCTTAGGCTGAGCCGTCTTAAGCATCTGATCCAGAGGATACGGGGAAGAATTCGCCGTCAATCCTGGGTGGAACTCGCAGACGTTCGGATGCGTGCGGCTAGGTCCCTAAAAGCATTGATACCGCGGCATTCCAGGGCTACATACAATCCTATCAACACCGTCCAGAATCTCCTGCGCTGTCCTCTCCCTCATGCAGTCCAGGATTTTCCGGGTGTCCTTTTCGTTGTTTTTCTGGCATCCAACCTCCTTGGCCAGGGCGAAGGAGTTCTAAAAATTGGATATTTGATTGGATTCCCGTACACATTCATTTATGAACTACAGGGTGTCCCAAAAAACCCCCCCCCTCCTAGCCGGCCGCAGACCTATCCAATTTTTACGATTTAGGTACCTATCGAAAGCTCTCGTAAAGGCGAGTCCAGCACGTCTTGCCAATTTTCGAAATCTCCAAATTTTTTGTTCGTTTTCAAGCATTTGTTATGCAAAAAGGACACGCTTTTTTAACCAAAACGCAATTTAACCGGTTTAAGCGCTATCCAAGCCCTGTTCTTGCGAAGGGCTTGCAAAAAGCCGTTGTTGGGCTGCCAGGAAAGGCATTAAAATTTTTAAATTGTGATTTTTGTAAAAAACGCGGAGGTCAGAAAAACATCAGAAAAATCCGCCCGTATTGCAAAAACATTAGTAATATGACAGAAAATTTCGGAGATTTCGGAAATTGGCGAGACGTGCTGGACTCGGCTTTCCGAGAGCTTCCGATAGGTACCTAAATCGTAAAAATCGGATAGGTCTACGGCCGGCTCGAGAGGGATTTTTTTTGGGACACCCTGTATTTGAAGACCGGTTGAAGCTAAGTTCTATGGATTTTTTAACGATTTTAAAGCCATACCTCGACAACCGATTCGGATAGTGAATATTCCGCAAAAACGGATCCGGAGAGTTCGATCGTTTGATGGAAATAGACTAAAACATTGTGTTGTCGCAGACAACATTAATTTTACCATCTGCGTGTGGCGAAAAGTCGCCACTAGCGGCAGAGGAACCGGCAGACTGTCCGGATACGGTGATTTAGTTGACGTTGCCTCCGAAGGCGGGGAGGACCTAAAAAGAGGAATTTCAAAGAGCAAGAGAGAGAGAGAGGGAGAGAGAGAGTGAGATATGAGTACAAATTGATAAAGGATAGAGAGAGCGAGTTAGAGAGAACGAGAGAGAATGAGAGAGAGAGAGGAGGAAAGAGAGATACAGTAAATTTTACCAACATCATGCAAGAATTCCAGAGCCGTCGCCATATCCCAGAGACCCATATTTCCAGGCGCAGTCGCATCTCCGAGAGAGAAGAAGCCTAAAATAGACGTTTAAAGGATGGGAATAGCATATGGTATTCAGGATTTTAGTTTAGCTGAATTTTTTAAATGTGATTAGGAAAGTATAAAACGTACCAAGAGGTCCCAGTCTATATTGAATAGTGACGACAACAATGCCCTTGGCAACAAAGTGATCTACAAGCTTCTTGTAGCCATATTCCTCAGTGTTTCCGATGGCGAAACCACCCCCGTGGATGAATACCATCACTGGGTGGGTGCTTTGCTGAAAATTATCAATTTTAATGATGAGAAACAACAAGGTACTTCTGTCTTAAAACTCGAAAACGTACAAGGTCAGAAGGCGTCAGGATATTCAGGAAAAGGCAGTCCTCGCTGAAGTCCTGGCGATCATTGACGTGTGCGCTGAACAGTACGATTTCTCTCTATCTCTCTCTCTCTCTCTCTCTCTCTCTCTCTCTCTCTCTCTCTCTTTCTCTCTCTCTGTTTAACTCACCCTCCCTCTCGCTCATCCTCTTTCCAGTTGCAAAAAGCTAACCTGTGTACCGGGTACAAGCCGCTCCGGGAGAATCTTGTGGCATGGTGCAGAAAGTCCCATTGTCGACGATATGGGGCTTCTAAATAGAAATGTTTTTGTTCTCATTCCCGCTCTCTCTCTCTCTTTTTCTCTCTTTCTCTCTCTCGCTCCCTCTCTCTATTTTGTAAAAAATACAAAAACCACGCCTAAAATCGAAAACCAAGGTATGTTTTGGTCGAAGTTAGACATAACATGGAAACGCCCAGCTGCAAAATTTTTTTTGGTTTTTTTTGAGCTTTTGTATTTTTTAAGTTTTCAAATCTGGTTTTCTTATTTATTACATTATTAACGTCTAATTTCTTACCTCAAATCGATGAAAATTATCCGGGGCATTGGCATATCTAATATCTCAAGGAAAACATTAGCTGTGGACCCGTCTTTTGCTTCGACTTTCAGGCCTTGGACCTACAGGGTGGCCAGAAAAAAAAGTGCCTGGTTTGCACTGAAATATCTCACTAACGGAAACGAATCGGACCATCGTTACCTTGTCAGAATGCTTAAATATGCTGGGTATGAAGAATAAACACAAGTTGTTTTTTAAGATTTTTGACGACCCCCTACTCGTTAAGAATTTTTGAACATTTTTGAAAAAGTAGTAAACTTTGAAGAGGAAAATCATGGGCCTTTTGATGAGTTAGGGGGACATGCAGGGTATCAAAATGAAGCTCTCGGAGTGCGCTACCAAACCAGTGGCAAAGAATATTAATCGGTTTAACTAGCCGTCAATAGGAGCATTCGGAAAATCGGCACTTTTTGCGGGAATAATTCCAGATAAAATTTCTTTACCATCCGATCTTTCTGATATTTTGCATTTAGCAATGGATAGATAACTACTAAATTTCGGCGTCAAGGTTTTGAAAACCCCGATCAAAAAAATTTTTGGCACTTTGCCAAGTCGACGGATTTGTGACTTCTACGCTCCTATAGTTTAGAATGTGACATATCTATCTTTGGCAAGCATTATTGCATGTAGCAAGTACAAAAAGTTATGGCGACAAGGTGCTTTTTATCGTCAATTGGGAATCGCCCCTTCTGGAAAAACGCCGATTTTCCGAATGCTCCTATTGACGGCTAGTTAAACCGATTAATATTCTTTTAACTGGTTTGGTAGCGCGCTCTGAGAGCTTCATTTTGATACCCTCTATGTCCCCCCTAACTCATCAATAGGCCCATGATTTTCCTCTTCAAAGTTTACTAACTTTTCAAAAATGTTCAAAAATTCTTAACGAGTAGGGGGTCGTCAAAAATCTTAAAAAACAACTTGTGTTTATTCTTCATACCCAGCATATTTAAGCATTCTGACAAGGTAACGATGGTCCGATTCGTTTCCGTTAGTGAGATATTTCAGTGCAAACCAGGCACTTTTTTTTCTGGCCACCCTGTAAGTGAATTTTAATCCATTCTGCACTTTTTTACTATACTTATTAATATACCTTCTTTGGTTTTTTAACAACTTACAGGTCCGGGTATTTGGTGTTAACAATTGGGCCATCCTCTTCTTTCGTCTCTTCCACTGCAAAATCCCCACTTACAATGAGGGCGGATAGGAAAATTTGCCGCATCCTGGAATATTAAATATTTTTACAAGTTCTACTCATTTTAGAAAATTAATAAAAAATAGAGGTTAAGGAAGAAATACCAAAAATTGTCCAAAAATTGGCCCAGGACTATCATCTTCGATTCTGGCTTGTTTATCATTTTTGAAGGGAAAAACTAACAGAATATATAACTTTCATATTTTTATGATATCTAATTGCTCTAAACAGTTTCATAGATACTAAGAAAAACAAAGCCAAAACTACGTTTCTCCAATTTCTGAAGGTTTTGGCGCTCGAATGGTGTGTATCTCGCTGACATTGTGAGTTGATAAGGCGCTTTTTAATTGTTTTCTGGTCAGAGACGGCAGAGAAGGCAGGAGGCAAAAAGTGAAGGGAGATACTTTAAAAATACCCTAAATTGTGTAATCGAATCTTTTAAAGCGAGTGGTAGGCACAAAATACAACGCAAAACTCGCCATTAATGCAACGAGCAAAATACAATAGATTAGCAAAAATCAGCGATGGGGATTTTTAGAAGACAGGGAAAGCCAGCCTCTCCTCTACGAAACGCTTACAAGTAAGAAGCCTTGCGAGGCTGTCCTGCCCTGGTGGTGCCCGTCCTTATGTGGCCCTGGTAGGGGTCAGCGAGTATGCAAATATTTGTGTATACCAAAAGGTAGGGGGGATGGGGCCGTAGCCCACCACCAAAACGGCATCGCTGAATCACCACACCAGGGTGTGGGAGAGTTGGTATTGATTAGAATCGGGGGTTGGGCACCATTTCAGGGTCGTCGAAGCTTGCGATGGGATTAAAAGTTGCTTTAAAGAACCATTGAAGTGTACAATCTCGCGATGGACCGTTTTAAGAGGCGCAAAAGCCATAGTAATTACTAGGAAATTATTTTAAAGGCCCAAAAATGTGAAAAAATCAGGGGATAATTATTTTAGAGGCACATCGAAGCTTAGAAACTGTTCTCAGGCCATTTAAACATTTCAACCTATCAAACAGTGGAAATCGGGGGGCAAATCGTTTTAAAGGACTACTGAAGACTTTAAATTTTTAACTTATTATTTTAGGAAACCATGGAGTCGTGCAAAGAATGAATTTGTACTTAAAGAAACATGGTAATAAACAAATTATATCAACGGTCGATAAAGCGTAGAATATGCGGAGAAATCCTTTAAATTAGCAATGAAATCGGCAAAAGATTATGCTTTCTTCGGGAGCTAGGCCAAATAACTTTTTCTGATTGTTTACCGCACTTAAAAAGGCCAGAACTAGATTTTTTACACCAAAAAGGCCTTCTCGGTCATTCCTGTGGAAGAAAAGTTGTAGTTTGCGTTCGTTCCGATTTTGTGTGTTTGTGCTTTCTTGCCGGGAAGGGGGAACGTTTGTTCAGTCGGCGAGTCGGAAAGCGAAAATCTGAGTGAGTGTACTTCAGGTTCGAATCCGGCGGTCCATTTTTGGCAAAGTGCCTACGTTTTTACCGCATTTTTCGCACTTTTTAAGGAAACGCGACAGACGTGCTTTTTCAAAATGTCGCGGTCGCGGTACGACAGTTAGAGTTACGTACAAAAATCAGCTGCGTGTAGGTTTTGGGTGCGTTGCGGAGACGCATAGCAGCATTTTTTTGTATCAATTTATCTCACGCTTTTTGCAAAAAAAACTTGTGGAGCATTTATCTAAAAACGATTTGATAGCACGCGCTTCGTGAATGCATTTCCGCTGCGGAAGCCTCGACAAAAAAATTGGGAAGCATAGCGTTCGCATAACGTACAAAATCTCACGCATATCAGTTAAATTTCCTTCACTCTCGCTCTCTCTCTCACTCCCTCTCTCTCCAGGCCCCGACAGCAGTCGCTGCTCGTACTTCCACCAACACAACAACGGCCGGCAACACATTGCCTGGAGACGCCAGCGGGCCGGCTAAAAACAAATTGAAGGGCCGGTTGTTGGTGTGTCGCAGTGACCTGAGATTTTGCTGATAAAGGACGCCGGCCGGTCGGTAGCCCTTCACCATTTTTTAGCTTTATGAATTTGAACAGCTGAGCTTGGTCATTGGCACGTTACACCTTACGTTAATTGCTACCCTTTTACGACTTATCAAGCTCGAAAAGCTGGTTATATCGTTTTTTTCGTCGTCCTAGCATGTGTATTTGTGTTTTAAACATATATTTTTCAATTCTTGTATTCTTGAACCCGATAATATTAGTAAATCTGGCATTTTTATTGTTACAGTTTTTCAGAATTTTTGCCTTTAGAGAATGGCACGCCCGGATTTACAAACCACTCCGCCCACAAGAAAATCCCCGGAAATGGTAGCCAAACGGATCAGACGAGAGATTGGTGGGTTCAGAAGATGTTCTATAGCTCTCTCGCGCTCGCTCTCTCTCTCTCTCTCTCTCTGCCTCTCTCTCTCTGCCTCCCTCTCTCTGCCTCTCTCTCTGCCTCTCACTTACCTCGAATTTCCCAACACAATGACCAGGAACTGTTTTAACGGCGGATGCCACTCAACGTTATCACCCCAGCTCGACCTCATCCCCTTTGTGACCCCGGGGCCTGGGGCCATAAATTTCCGAGGAGTACCCCCGGGGCTTCCTTACCCATCGGTTTTTCGAGAGTACTAGGAATTCTTGAAATCGAGGAGGTGCCGAGGCGTCTTGCACTCATCGTATTGTTGAAGATGAGCCTGCCTTTAAGGGCGAAAGGCAGGCTAGCAGAGGTTCTTTGCAAAATTTTCTAAGTGGGCAAGCTAGCTGAAATTCTTCGAAGAATTTTGCCTCACAAACCGTGGAGAAAAAATTTAGTTTATTTTTGGCAAGAATTAATGAAAAAAACTGGCTTTATCTAGGATTGTGAAATGATCTCTGCTTCATCTCAATACCAAGCTGGTTGTGAAATTGCAAAATTTGCAAACCTGTCAATCGTCTATGAATTCTATCGCATTTTTCAATTTGAATAATCCCTGTCTTTTTGTGGTAAGAGGTCGAGAGATTCTTGCTGCAAATCTTCAATTTTCTATTAAGCTGCTGCGACCAATAAAAAAATTACTGGGCCGGCCACTGCTCGGGGCGAGGGGCCGTGTGGGCAGTGCCCCCGGGGTTATCCTCCTCCGGCCCTTTCTCTGCTCCCTCTCTGTTGTAATGCTCTCTCGCCATGTTCTACTGGCCTTTCTCTACTCTCTCCGCTCTTTCCCCATTCCCTCCTACCCATCTCTTCCCTCGTCTGTTGGACCATCGACCGCTGCTGGCATAAAGCCAATTTCCGGCAGTGGCATCTCGATATTTTAAGTGTATTTTAAGTTTTAAGGGGTATTTAAGCGAGGGGTGTTCGTGCGATGCTCTAAACTCCAAAAAGCTATCCCGCTTACGCCATTAAAATAACGAACTTCGAATCTAACTTTTTTAAGGCGATTTTGCTAGTCTAGTTTCCTTAATAAGGATATTTTATACGTATTCAAACCAAATTAAGTGTACAAACAGGTGTACTATCGTAAAAAATTCGAAAAGCTATACTTTCAAACACTTCGAAATTTTAGAACGCTTACATCATTTAATTCACGATCTCTAGATACTTGCCTCTACCCTGGGAAATCCTTGTTTTTCCCAAAATTCCAGTACAATAAAATTTGCACTCTAAATCTGATCTCCGCTCCGCTGGACGACGCCTTTTTACACCCCCGATCTTATCAAAAGTCCACCACCTCTTGCCCCTGCCAGGGCGGGAAGCCAAACAACAACACACTTCTAGTCCGGCCGCCGCATTTCCGTTGCATAAGGTCGCCAGGGGTTTCA